CTTGTCCCCACCTCCCTCTTTTCCTCCCTCCTGTCCTCCTTGTTGATCCGCTTCATTATCTTCTACACTTTAAGTCTCTCTTTCCTTCTGTGAATTCTTCTATTAAAAATGATTTGTTCACTCTGTATTTTATTTTATGCGTTCACGTTTTGGTATGTTCAGGAACACCTAGTGCACATTTGCACGGTTGTTCGCTATATGCTTCTATTATTACGTGTACATCCCCCATCCCCACCTCCATCACGCCAGTTTATTACCTCTCCCTTTTCCTTTTTCTCCTACTCTCTCTCTGTCTCTACCCATCCAGTAGCATTGAAAACATGATGCCTGAAACAAAATGTGCCGGTACTGTGTATTGCTGAGTACCGCCAGAAAAAAAAAAGCCCTTGGAAAATCTAAACAAATAGCAGAGAATCAAGAGGCGAGAAAAAGACGATGGTGTTGGATAGGCCAAACTCTATAGAATTTTAGAAACAATGCAAGCTAACTATAATGTATCCTCTTAGACAAAATGGCTGGGGTAAGGACTTGCTGGTAGTGTTTCCTTCATATGTTTTAAGTATTTCTTTGTCAATAAACTACAACTACAATGTCCAGGTGCACAATAAAATGAGTAAATCTTCTTCCTTCTTCGTTGCCTTCGCGTTCACCAGCTGTAAACTCTGGCAGAACGTTCTGGTTGTTCATCCACTTCTGGACTGCTGTCCTGTTCTGGAACATGTGTTGCGTGTGCATCCGTTTCACAGATCTGACTCATCAGTATGCAGACTGCTGGTTCCTTGTCTCTCCGGCAGATGTACTCCGACTTTAAAGAAAGCTCCCAGTTAGTCGACTCTTGCGGCATGCTTTTGGGTAGGCAGTGGGTCTATTCTTGTTTTCCCTATATCAAGGCCCTGGAACCCACACGGGGAAAATGAGTAAATAAAACACCTCTACACTCAACAATGGAAAACGATCGACCGTGTGAATAGTAAAATGAAAATAGCTCTGTTCTAATATTTACTCTAGTGACACAATAATAAATACATAAATCAAAGACAAATGTTTCAAATAATGAGAATCCTACAGTGAAAGAATTGACAAAGATCATTTCAAATCCACTCAGGCTGATACATTGTCCCATTCACTATCTGAAGGAGACCGTTTTTGACCTCTGACACCGGACCGCTAAATAGTTATTGGTCATCTCTAGGCTCTTTGTAGTCCGCGTGGCGCTTCCAGCGATCCAATATTTTCTTAGTCCAGCAATCTTGTCAATAAACGCCCAATCTGGACATCGGTGAAGATGATTTTAGAATCAGACAATCTGTTAGGGAAAGGCAGCCAGTTTTCCAGATTTATTCTGTATATAACCTGGAACTACTTTTCTGTGCAATGGATATTGTATAAGATCTCCTTCGTCGTGAGGACGGCATCTGATTGATTTCCGCTAGCCGTGTGGGTTTCAAGGTCCAGTGAGGATGGGGTGGAGGGGGGGGGGGGGGAGACCCACTGCCTTCCTTCACTATGGTATGATAAAAGGCTACGACATAGGAATTCACAGTTATTAGACATATTAGACCAAAAGGCTGAGACATCGCCCCCTGGCTGTAAACCACAATAATGTACCAACCGCCGTTGCAGCAGCGAACGGAGAAGAAGAAGAAGAAGAAGAAGAAGAAGAAGAAGAAGAAGAAGAAGAAGAAGAAGAAGAAGAAGAAAAAGAAGAAGAAGAAGAAGAAGAAGAAGAAGAAGAAGAAGAAGAAGAAGAAGAAGAAGAAGAAGAAAGAAGAAGAAGAAGAAGAAGAAGAAGAAGAAGAAAGAGAAGAACAAGAAAGAAGAAGAAGAAGAAGAAGAAGAAGAAGAAGAAGAAGAAGAAGAAGAAGAAGAAAGGAAGAAGAAGAAGAAGAAGAAGAAGAAGAAGAAAGAAGAAAAAGAAGGAGAAGAAGACGAAGAAGAAGAAGAAGAAGAAGAAGAAGAAGAAGAAGAAGAAGAAGAAGAAGAAGAAGAAGAAGAAGAAGAAGAAGAAAGAGAGGAAGGAGAAAGAGGATGGGGACATGAGGAGAAGGAGTTAAGGAAGGAAGGCGGAGAAATACTAAATAATAGAAAAACAATTGATGGAGAGGGCAACAGGCGGAGAAGGAGAGAATATGGAAAAGATTAGATCAAACAAGTGCATAATTAATATGTAACGAGGCAAAGTATAAAGGGGGTACGGGAAATAAGAAATAAAACAAGAAAAGGCGCATGAGGAAGATACAGAAAAAGTGTGTAGCAGAAGCCAGGACAAACTCTCGACTGGGAGTGTACAACCAACATCAAACCGGCAGTGCAAACAACCAACAATAACTGACTGCCAGGAGGAGGTAACTCAGGAACAGAAGGTGCTATTGACGCTGGCCGACTGCAGGCGACCGTTGCTTGACAATGGGGGCAAACAGGCACAAAATTCGAGTACAGAAAGTCAGGAATATTAATTGGAGCTCTTTTATGCCGGAGGAAAAGTTTGTTTGCTAATGGTTTGCTCTATTCTCTACTTTTTCGAATTAGAAAATACTAATTTGGCTCGAGTGCCTTTTTTATGGTAAAACTAGGGAGAAAAAAGGACAAGAAAACTACAAGGAACGGATAAATTGACCGGGTGGATGAACGGGGTTTGGAAAAGAAGAATGGCGTTGTGCTGTGAAACAATGAAATGTAACCCACAGAAACCACGGCCTGCGCTGGGTTGTTTACTAACTCGTTATATACCAATCTACGCAACATACGTCAGTGGGTACTTTCTTCAGCAGAGCCGTCCAATAATGTGTTGGCTGTGGTATGAAGGTGTGTTGCTGGTTAGTATGTCCGTAACTCGTATAACGTTATGTTATCAAATTCAAAATGTAGCAAGGCCAGGTGGTACCCGGTGCGGAAAATCTCCTGCAACCTCCCACCAACCCACACATATTATATTCTAAAAACACATATTTTTGTGACTGTGTCACCACCTCCCCCATCACACCTTTTTTTTCAGTGACGACAACCGGGGCGGCCCACACCCCACAATCGACGTCACTGCACAATAGGCATTCCCATGAGTGTCCAGTCCTCCTAGGTAACTCTACCTATTGTTACCTTTAGAAGCTGCTTATATTGTCTCATATCTCGGCCGTGAAGGGGCATAGACGTGCTTGATACCAAAGTCAGGCAATCGTGTTAGTGCCAGAGGTTCATCATTATCCACTAACCCAACCTGTACAGTGAATATCTTAGTCTTATCCCAGGTTCCAACATCCCTGCAATCGGGTTTCCCCATTCCTGCTCCATTCCTGTACCAGTGAAAATCAAATGAAGTGTAAATCACTGTCGCATTTGAAAAACTGGTCAACAAACAATTCGTCCAGGAACAATTTGCTTTGCCCATGATTCTTCCCGCGTGCATTGGTGCATCTCTTGGCGGTCGGTCCTCTCGCTCATTAAATGTTACGTCGGCATGCTCAGGTGTGTAGACCTGGGGAAGGGGGGAGAGAAAAGAAAGTTAAGCGCGAATTTCGCATGCCTGATCTGTTGGTTTGCTGCCGAAACTGATCGCCACAAACAAACGAAATTCGTCCAAGATATTTTTTTTTTAAATAGTCCCCAATATAGCAGGCCCTCTTGCGGCTCAAAGAGGACAAAGCTTAGAATTTGTGTTTATCAAATTTGAATTGGAATTGGGAATTCTGGTCTGCTAGTTGGCTGAATTACTGTGTCGCGAAATTATGTTTATCTACAAAGTGCGTCACCAGCTTTATATGTGTGGAAAGCTCTGTTCAACAGATTATGTCGGTATTAACTCTAACGTTTTCATCAGGTGTGTGCACATTTTTTTTTTTCACACTGCTTCTCTCCATGTCAGCCCTGTTGTTGTTGTTGTTGTTGTTGTTGTTGTTGTTGTTGTTGGTTGATTTGTTTTTTTTTTTTTGTGAGGAAAGGGGGAAAAAGACTTACTGTCCCACCACCTACCACAACAAGCATGTCGTAAAAGGGCACTGATTAGGAGTTTGCTTAAATTGGCTACATTGGACCCAGCTGCGCAGATATCGCAGACTGACTGAAAACAATGACACAACGCCTTTAAAGTTTGTTTTTTTCAGCAGACGTCGAAGCAGAAGACGTTGTTAGTTTACTGCCTTATTTTTCCATCACCATGAAATGATTTGCCGACTTGCCTTTGCTATATGCTTCTCTGCGGTGTTTGTGATTAGCAGTTGGGAGAGTAGTTTCATAATTCCGCTATAGCATTTTCGATTCAGCTTTACGCAATTTATTGACAGATCGCGAGAGCTGCGTTTGACATAACTGCCGCCCTGAAATCAGTGGCAAACTACCGAACATAGACTTTCTTAGCAAAGCCACTATTAGCCAACAAATGCTGAAGCTGGTTTGTGAGTTTCTGTAAACCAATGTTCTTCAACCTGTTTATGCTTATGCACCGGTAAAGGCTAAGGTATAATCTTTATTATCTGTTTCAACAGTGGCAACTTTCATTTTACCTCACCCCGAACACGGGGAATCCCCTGAATTGGATAGAAAGATTGGTAGAGGAATATCAAGACAGCCGAAGAGAGCAAGACAAATTGGCATCATGGATCATCATGATGGGTCAGTATGCGTTGGAGCAGGTTAACACCAGTTTCAAATACCTTGGAGTTGTATTAGACCAAAATGGAGGCATTAAGACTGAGCTGGCTACACGAAAAGCAGCTGCTGGAGACTCTTCCAGAGCATCTTTGGAGTATCTCTTTGCCTATGGGGTTCTAGAGTCAAGGCAATGACCGCTCAACAGCTCATGGTGTGAGTACAGAAAACAGCTCACAGAAGCCAAACTTGAGAAAAGGTGGTCTGACAAGTAAACTGAAACGAAAGGTTGTTCAACGACGACTACAAATGCCATAAGGCAATGTCTATAAGAAGAAAACGGTTAATAGTGTGATACATGTCAGATAGAGATATTAGCATCGTTTTTGACTTTATGTGAATGTGATCTCTTCCCGCAGGTTCGTGCATGGATCAAAAGCCGCCAGAAACGAAGAGCCCTTCAGCTCAAAGGGTTTGAGTACCAAGATAACCACTCGCTTGATTCTTTTGCATCCAACAGTCTCATAGACAGGGTAAGTCAATGTCTGTTGAAGTTGTTTGCCTTCTGAAAGTTCGTTTGGACACCAGTAGAGTGCATTGGCTATTAGTTCCCTTGCAGTGAATGATCGTTGCATAATTATTTAAAACTCATTACGAGTACTCGTAAGTCAATATTCAGAACAATGTTGATAGAAATTAGTGCCCGTAGTGTTCAGGGACAACTTCACAAAGAGATGATTCGTCGTCTTCTTCTTTCTTTTCTCAAGTTATCTCACGTTTTGGGGTGGGAAATGTCAGGATCTTCTACATGGTCTTGTTACTTGATGCCTTCATTCGACCTCTTGCCTGGTCCTTTCCTTGTTCCGTGCTCATTGTACTTCTTCCTTTTGGCTCTCTGTTGTAGCTGGAAACGCAGCTGTCTCGTTGGATTATAAAACCATATTATCTGCTGTTCGTTAATTAGCTGTATGGCTGCCTTTTTCCCCCCTTTTTCTAATTTCAATTTATTTAGCTGTATTTATTTTTTGTTACTCCAGACGCTGTTCTAGAAATTATTATCTCGGTTGTCAAGATTTTGGTCTCACAGGTTATATAGTAAAAGTGCATATTTGACACTGATGGCATAAAAAAAAAAATATGTCTTTTACCCTGTATGGGTTCCAGGGCCCAAGTTGTGGGGAAAAGAAGAATATACCCACTGTCTCCTCAACGAGCATGTCGTAGGAGTAGAAGGCTTCCTTCGAAGTCGGAAGTGCATCTGCCTGAGAGGCCAGGAACCAACAGTCTGCCTAAAACAGATGTGCGCGCAACACTCAGGTTCTGGGACAAGTCTAAAGTCCAGAGGTCGATGAACAGCTAGAACTTTCCGCCGGAGTTTACAGCAGGTGAACGCCAAGAAGAGGATTTCTTGTTACATCGGTTACAGGTTTCCTTTTATGTGTCAAAAGTGCTATGTCTTGTTCCGGTACATAATTTGCCTGGACGTATGACTAATTCTCATAGTCACATTTTGCGGGTATTCTTACAAAGAACGATCACATACAACAGTGACAGCAGACACCACTGAACAACATTCACATACAGTGGTATGCCGGTCCTGGCGTGGGAGGCATGGACAATGACAACAGCTAATGGATGCCAGCTGGGCGCTTCAGAAATGAGGTAACCGAGAAAAGTGGTCAAAGTGACCAGAATGGACAAAGTTTGCAACCAAACTATACGTCATGATCTTTAAACCCAGGCCCTACAAACTCGAGTAGGTCAGTCACAGATACGATGGTTTGGATATGTATGCGGAATGGCACAGAATCGGCCACCATGGCAGGCAAGGACAACCAAGAACGAGGAAATAGATCTCTACCCTGAGGATCGGGGGATGCTATGTTCAGGTCCTAGCGGAGCCTGGCTTGTGTTTTCCCCTCCAACAATGACTTTAGCTCCAAGGTCGACTTAGCCTTAAATGGTTACCAAGTAAAGTCCTGGAAAGTGAAGGCGGTTGGTGTAATTGGTTTATAAAATAAACGTCTAGCCTTGTTTGGCCGAAAGGCGTGCGAAAAGTCGGTTTCATTAAAGTTTCAAAGTTCTCTGCTAATCTGTAGCTCTCTAATACTGCGACAACTGTAAAAGCTAAAACTGTTAAGTTTACAATATCGAGTGAAAATAGGTGGGTGCTGCAGTTTGACAGTCGCTATACACGATCCACCACTGCAACGAATATGTACTGTCAATCAGTTTTCATTGACAATCAATGTGCCTGACAAATCTTCACAGACCGAAACAAACATCTACAAGCAACAATACGTGAAACACTCACATTCACAGAGTAGATTCTTGTGTTGTCTGTCTGAAAAAAAAATCGAATGAAAAGCACAAACCCTATCTACATTGGCATGGGAACTGGCTTTTCATAAACCACGAAAACTGCAGACTTTCGGCATCAAAAGAATACGCTTTCACGGCAATGAAGATTCTGTATCGGTTAGGGCGCGTTGGTCGAAGAAGCTGTCACTGAATTTGAAGGATCGGCATGGCCAATGCACGTAGACTTGTGTAGAAAATCGTTTGGATTTTATGGGCTAGAACATGGAGGCAAAATGAGACCGAACAGTCTGCGTTATACGGAACACTTGCTGTAAGATACGAGTTTCCTGTTTTCTGTTGTAAGATACTAGTTTCTTGTCTTCTGGGAACCTTATGAACACAAGCTGTAAAATGGGAGTAACTTGTCTTCTGTTCTAAGATACTAGTTTCTTGTCTTCTGTGAGTCTTATTGAATACGAGTCGTAAAATACGAGTTTCTTGTCTTCTGCCTGTAGCAAGCTAAAATATTATCAAAGATATATTCTTCTTCTTCTTCCTATTCCTTCTTCTCCTCGTCCTATTCTTTTTCTTCTTCTTCTTCTTCTTTTTTAATTCTTTTTCTTATTCTTCTTTTTCTTTCTCTTTTTATTTTTCTTCTTCTTTTTCTTCTTCTTCTCCTTCTTCTTCTTCTTCTTCTTCTTCTTCTTCTTCTTCTTCTTCTTCTTCTTCTTCTTCTTCTTCTTCTTCTTCTTCTTCTTCTTCTTCTTCTTCTTCTTCTTCTTCTTCTTCTTCTTCTTCGTTTCTTTTTTCCCCTTTTTCCCTTTTTCTTTTTCTTATTCGTCTTCTTCTTCTTCTTCTCCTTCTTCTTTTTTTTTTTTTTTCTTCTTCTTTTTTTTCTTTTTCTTCCTCTTTTTCTTCTTCCTCTTCTTTTTCTTCTTCCTCTTCTTCTTCTTCTTCTTCTTCTTCTTCTTCTTCTTCTTCTTCTTCTTCTTCTTCTTCTTCTTCTTCTTCTTCTTCTTCTTCTTCTTCTTCTTCTTCTTCTTCTTCTTCTTCTTCTTCTTCTTCTTCTTCTTCTTCTTCTTCTTCTTCTTCTTCTTCTTCTTCTTCTTCTTCTTCTTCTTCTTCTTCTTCTTCTTCTTCTTCTTCTTCTTCTTCTTCTTCTTCTTCTTCTTCTTCTTCTTCTTCTTCTTCTTCTTCTTCTTCTTCTTCTACGTTTTCTTCTTAGCTTAATCTTGGGGGAAGGGAGGGGGAAAGAGGTGGAGGGTTGGGAGTAGGGCCTGACTGTTTGCCTAATTCTTGACTTAAATTCAAATTTGCTCGTTGCGTGCATATGACTTTTACAGATCAGGCTATATGTATGCAGACTGTCGATTCCTTTCTTTCTCGGACAGATGCACTCTGACTTCTAAGAAAGTCCCCAGTTAGTCGACTCATACGACATGCTTGTTGGGGAGGCAGTAGATTTGTTCTCCCCCCGCCCCCGCCGTAAAGGGCCCCGGAACCCACACAAGCAGTTGAGAATTAATAGAGTCAGGTTTTTTTTTCCTACTCCAGGATTGCTGAATGTGAGATACATCTCAAGGATAAGAATTAAACATTTATCATTATAGTTCTACTTGTACACGTATTTATATCGTAATTAGCGAAGTAAATAAATGATCCATTATTATCTTTATTTTTGGGCCAGTGGCTTATCGGGCACATGAGGCTAACTTATATTATTATAGCTCAGTCTGCACTCAGTGAATGATTGGGGTCAACATCGTGACAACCACCTTCCCTTTGATTACAATATATCTTCTTCTTTCTTACCTTCCGCCCTCTGGGTCTCAGTGGAGCAAAGGCACTCAACAATCTCAAGTACAAATTGCAATCAAGTTGACTAGCAACTGCCCGGGCAAAAAGAGTTTTCCCTGGAGATCCGTACAGCAGACAACCTTTGGGTGAAATGATGTCCAATCGTTGAAACCTTGTAATCTGGTAATCCTAGTCACCCCATAGTTGCTCCTCTCCTGTGCCAACGAAAAACACACGTAGCTCACAGTGTCACGCCATGCACTCAACTTATTGAAACAGTTCAGGGTTGTTCTATCCTATTCCCTAACTTCATTTCTAGTTCCCTTCTCCCTGCGTTGCTTGGTCTGCAAAGGACATTAGGCAGGGTCAACCTGTAAACCAAGCTGAATTTTGAAGAAACTTCGAATCGATGCCGTTTCTAAGACCGTAGACATTTTCATTAACTCTAAGAAAGGGTCTTTCTTCTTCTCCTTCCTAGCGTTTTCCGGTTATAATTATCCATGGAAATTAAATTTCTGGTTGTTCGACCCTTTCTGGACTTTTGCCGTGCTCCAGAACTTGAGGTTTGTGTGCATGTCCGGTTTACAGATATAGCATTTTGTATGCAGACTGTTCGTTCCTCGCCTTTCAAGCAGATGCTCACCAAATTCGAAGGAAAAATTCCTTATTAGTAGACGTTTACGACATACTTGTGGGGGTGGGCGGGGCACAGTAGGTTTATCAACCCCACCCCCTCCCCTCCTTTTTTGCCCTCCCCGCCCCCCTCCCCCCCCCCCCTCCTCACACATTTTTTTTTCTAGATTACTGGAATGTCTCTCCAGAACAGGTGCGACAATGCAGGGGAAAGCGGATGGGAGACGTTTGGGCCTTTCTGCCTCCATACATTTCTTCAAGGCAAAGAGGAGGTCCTCAGGGGGCCTAATCCTAATTTAAGTGAATAATAATAATACTTCGCTGAATAGTAAATAAATATAGTAACACATTTAAAATAAAATGAAATGTATAAACAAATACCTTTAAAATCATATATGTCAATAGTAATACCTGACTGCTCGGCATCCTTATATCTTCTTCTTCGTGTTCACCAGCTGTAAACTCCGGTGGAAAGTTGTAGTTGTTCGTCCAATTCTGGACTGCAGTCCTGTTCCAGAACCTGAGTGTTGCGTGTGCATCCGTTTTACAGATCTTACTCATTTGTATACAGACTGTTGGTTCCTTGACTCTCAGGAAGATGCATTCCGACTTCGAAGGAAGCACCCATTTAGTCGACTCTTACGACATGCTTTTGGGGAGGCAGTGGGTCTATTCTTGTGTACCCTATAACAGGGCCCCGGAACCAACACGGGGAGGATACTTATTTAATTGTAGAGCCCTCTCCTCTCCCCCCCCCCCTTCCTTGCCCCCCCCCCCCCCCCCCCGTAAGAGAAAACTGAGA